CCCTGGGCGGGTGGACTTAGGCTGCACAAGAAAGCTGGGTGAGCACACGTCAGTGAGAGAGTCATCAAGTGGCATCTCTCAGTGGCTCCTGCCTTCAGGTTCCTACCCTGAGTGTTTGTTCCTCCTCTACTCAATGATAGATAGGTTGTGACCTGGAGGTGAAGACCAAACAAATCCTCTGCTCCCCACGTCGCCTTTGGTCAGAGGGTTTGATCACATGAACAGGAAGCAGCAATGAGGAGCTGTTGTTACTCAGGTTATACCACTTCAGCATTGAGAGAAAACCTGAAGCATCGTTGGACGTTCGCATTTGACTCTTCTCATCGGTGCCAAAATCCCCAAACCACTTTGATCCCCATAAAAGCTCCCCAACATTTCCAAACGTCTTTATGGGGAACGTACAACTCCCAGCTGAGACCCCCTGACATATTGCTATACTTGTCATGAATTTATAATTGAGTGAGACTGGAAAACAGCCAGGACAGGACATCACAGGACACCTCAAACCGTGTGCATCCGTGGCAGGACTGGACGATGTTTATGGTTTGAATATGGTATCTCATCAACTCTCAAGTCGGAATTAAGCCCCCACTATGAGCTATCAAGAGGCTGTACTTTCAGACACTGAGAGAAACAATTAATAAATGAAACTTCCTGGAACTGAGAAGCTTCTGTAAAGCAAAGGACACGGTCAACAAGACAAAACGACAGCCTATAGAATGGGAAAGATCTTCACTAACCCCACATCAGACAGAGGGCTGATCTCCAAAATATACAAAGAACTCAAGAAATTGGACACCAAAAGAACACAAAATCCAAGAAAAAATGGAGTTCAGACCTAAATAGAGAACTCTCAACAGAGGAATCTAAAATGACTGAAAGACACTTAAAAAAATGCTTAACATCTTTAGTTGTCAGAGAAATGCAAATCAGAACAACTCTGAGATTCCATCTTACGCCTGTAAGAATGGCCAAGATAAAAAACACCAATGACAGCTTGTGCTGGAGAGGATGTGGGGTAAAGGGAACACTCCTGAATTGCTGGTGGGAGTGCAAGCTGGTATAGCCCCTTTGGAAATCAATATGGCGATTTCTCAGAAAATTAGGAAACAATCCTCAAGACCCAGCATTACCACTTTTGGGTATATATCCAAAGGATGCCCAATCATACCACAAGGATATGTGCTCAACTATGTTCATAGCATCTTTGTTTGTAATAGCCAGAACCTGGAAACAACCTAAATGCCCCTCGACCGACGAATGGATAAAGAAGACAGTACATTTACACAAAGAAGTACTACACAGCGGGAAAAAAAAATAATGATATCTTGAAATTTGTGGGCAAATGGATGGATCTAAAAAACATCATATTGAGTGAGGTAACCCAGACCCAGAAAGACAAATATCATATGTACTCACTCATAAGTGGCTTTTAGAAATAAAGCAAAGAAAACCCAGCCTACAATTCACAACCCCAGAGAACCTAGACAAGAAACAGGACCCTGAGAGAGACATACATGGATCTAATCTACATGAGAAGTAGAAAAAGATAAGATCTGAGTAAGTTGGGAGTGTAGGGATCACGGGAGAAGTAGAAGGAAGGGAGGGGAGCTGAGAAAAATATATAGCTCTATAAAAACAATTGAAAAAAACCAAAAAAGTGGTTGTGCTTTCAGAAGGCAAACAGGGTGTTACACTCATGAATAAACCCAGTCATATGATCGATATACTGATGTGTTCATGAGAAATTGTGAGATTGGGTTTACAATTTGTAAACCGATTTGTCTGGGTCCCTCTCACTTCTCCCACTCTCATGATGACATGCCAGCCGTAAAGTCTTCACTAGACACGGACCTCTGAACAAATAAAATTCCCCTCTCTCCTCTCAACATTAAAACACACTCAGACGCTCACCTTCCTCTGCACAACTTTTTCTCTTTGCCCTTTGGAATCATCCTCATGAAATTTATCAATCCTGTCTGTGTTTAGGCTTCTTGAATGAGCAATTGCTTCCAATACTTTAGAATACACAATAGCAAGCAAAGAGGAGGGACTGTTTAGAATTTGACTTCAATTGTTTCATATTCTGCTTGTTTCCATATGTAGCGTGTGATGCCTCCAGACACCAAACCCACCATCTGTGATACGACTGTTGCACATACCCAGCACAATGCTGCAGGCTCTACATGATTGGCAGATACATTTTGTCTCATCCATATGACTGTACAACTCAGTGTTAAACAACGTACACAAGGCAGGTACCATGGCATGGACCTGTCAGCCCAGCAACTCAAGAGGTAGAGGCAGGAGGCTCATGTTCAAAGCTAGTCTGGACTCTAAAGTGAAACTTTGTCTCAAACCAGCACCACCAGCATAGCTACCTGCAAACCCCAAGCCTGAAACAAAGAACAACAAAACTACTGCTGGCAAGATGGATAGCTGGTGAAGCAGTTGCCACATAAAGCTGAAGACCCGAGTTCAGCCCCCAGAACCCACGGAAAGGTGGAGGGAGAAAAGCAACGTCACAAGGTTATCCGCTGACCTCTTCCCCTCCCATATCACTTGCACAGGCACCTACACAAACAAAGAAAAGCAAAATTAAATTAAAACCCTCAACTGAAGCAAACAATAGCAACATACACCAACACCCCATCCCCACTTTTTAGATGAACAACGAAAAGAAAAAACGTATGGAACTTTCCTACAGCCTTCTGACAGTCAGATGGTATCATGCTGTCAAGCTCTGGGGAAAAGCTCGGGAAGTGGTGGGACTAAGAGAGGCTTCCTTCCATCCCAAGCCTCAGCCTCCAGCTCCCCAGCTGCATCACCAGCATCCAGCCTGTCACCACCGGCTGGCTGGTGGCTGAGTTCCGACCAGCAAGAGGGAAAGCCTCTGTAGGGGTTTCCCCCGAAGTGGTGGCACCCGGAAGGGTAAATTAGCTGCTTCACGAATAAACCAGGATGGAATGTGGGCACTGGTGTCAGCCTGAGAGTCTGCTGCTGGGAGAGTCTGGCAGCCTGCAACTCCTCCAGCCTCTAGGAAAATAAAAACAAAACCCCAAATAAACCCAGGATCAGATACCCAGGGAGAGGAAGGAAGTGGGAAAGTCAGCTGGTTGGTCCTACGGAAAGGGTGTGATAACTTCAACTTCTAGGACTTTGAAACAGGAGCAAAACGGACACGTGAATCCATCAACACCTAATCCTTCACTCCCCACATTCATTTTGTAATATTTCCTAAGTTTATCCATGTGTCAGAGTCTCTTGTGATTGCGTCTGCAGCACCCACTAATAAACATGGCAAATGTCTCTGTCCTCATATAGCACATACAGTTTGTGTAATGAGGGGACACAGGCAGCAGATATATTAAAAAATAAAGGAAGGGGCAGTGAGATGGTCCAGCCAGCAAAGGCGCCTGCTGGGCAAACCTGGCTACTCAAGTTCCATCCCCAGAACTCACCTAAAGGTGAGTTGTCCTTTGATCTCTGACCTCCACTTACATGCTGTATGTGCTTCCCCCCAGATTAAACCTTAAAAATCATAAACCCTATATTAGGTGGAGAGAAGTATCTTGCTCTGAAAGTGAAAGGGAAGGGGCACCTACAGCTCTGTGGGGGAGGGGAGGTGTCTTTTGTTTTAAACTTATAGCCAGGTCTCATAAAGTAACATTTGAAAAAGGAAATTATTATTATTATTATTGATATTAGTATTGTGATGCTGGGCACCATTCTAGGTATTGTCACAGTTATCTCATTAATACTTATAATCACCCTGAAATATAGCTATGATAATCCCTGTTTTACAAAGAAACCTAGGTTTAGAGATCCGCACCCATTTCTGGTCACCTTAGGACTAACAAGTGGTATGACTGGGATTTGAACCAAGCCAAAAACTCCACCGATTGCGCACTTGCACGCTGGTGCAGTCAGCCAGGTTTGAGGAAGGTCAATGAGTAGGTATAAATGGAATCCCTGCTGTACCCAGGCTAGGTTTTACTGGTGGGAGTACTCGGTGCAGGTAGGTGGCCGACCTTAGCCCAGCTGAGTCCCGCCTTGGGTGGGAGCTGCATTGACTAGCTGCAGGAGAAGTGGGCCTATGGGGGAGGGAGCCCGAAACTGCTGGGGTTGTCCCGGGACAGCGTCTGTGTGAATTTCACCTGCCACCACCGGGACCAGCTGCTCTAGTCAATAAGGGAGGATCTGGTTCTTGGGAACGTTGAAGAGGGCAACGGAGCCGAGCCTCAGGGTGCAGTCGCATGGAGGAGTCCCCAAGTGCACTGGCTGGGGGCTCTGGGCACAGGACAGAGTGGTGGAGGGGTTCCTGGGAATAGTGCGACAAGGTCCGTGTGGTGCAAAGTGGGGCCGGTCTAGACAAACTGAGGGAGAATAAAGAGCAAGCCGGCTTTTCCCTTGTGAGAGGAGCGCAAGGCATAGTCGAGAAAGTCCTGTGGAAATGTCCGGGTGACAACCTCCAGAGAGCTGGAAAACAGGTGCCAGAGAGAGGCAAGGGAGGGGTGCTGGGTGCAGGAAGCAACAGAAGGAACTTTGACCCTAGAGAAAGCGTTCTGGGCAAAGAGGGGCAAGTCCAGGGAGGACCCCATGGAGGCAGAGCCCAATGCCGGCAAAGAAAAAGAACTTGCTAACACAGGGCAACTTTGGGGACTTGGAGGGCAGGGGTACCAGTGTGGCCAAGCCCGGGACACATAGCCTGCAAACTTAGAGCCTGGGACTCACTCGGTGAGGTCCTAGGAAAGCAGTTGGGGTTAGGGAACTTGGAGAGGGAGCGCGGGGGCAAGGAAGCGCAAAGTTGTTTCTGCGACGGAAGGCTTGGCTAGGCTCTGCAGCAGAGCGCTGGTGATCTTGGGCAGAGCTCAGAGAGCAGAGCAGAAGAAAGGCAAGGAAGAAATTTTGCACACCAAAACCCAGCACAAAAAGTCCATGAGAGACAGCGCCGCCAGGATCTTTCCTTTGCAGCTGCTTTTGATATCAGCCTCACTTACCATGATTGCGAAGACCAAAGCCACGATATTGACTGGGTACGCTGGGCAAAAACACGCGACAATGGTGAGCCACAGATAGTTCTTGGGTGTAGGCATATCCTCTTCAGTCTTGTCATCTTCCGTGTTGGCTTCGGGGCTGCTGCTGTCCAATACTCCCTTGGAGTCTGTGCGGGACACATACTGGGACATGGGCGAAGTCGCAGGTGACACCGGGAGGGAAGAGGAGCGCGAAGTTCGCGCAAGCTGAGGCTGTGGCTGTCGGCTCATAGTGAGCCGACGCTCTTGGAAAGCTTGTAGCTCCAGCCTCAAGGGAGATGCGACTGCACTCCTCTCCGGTAGGTCGGTCCTTTGCCTGTACCCGGCTGGGCTCAGGGACCTAGGTCAAGAGCCTCCCCATAAAGAAGGAGGGAGGGAGAAAGCAAGGGAAGGGAGGCGGGGGCGGAGGGACGACGGGGGGGGGGGGGCCACAACGGGGGGGGGACACGACACGAACTGACGGACAGACAGACAGGATCTGTCGCACTGACAGGCAGAGGAGCAGCAGGAGACACTAACTTCTCTCAGACCTAGAGACACTTCTGCGGATGCACTGAGAAGTTTGCAAGAAGGAGCTTAGGAAAAGAGGAAGCAGGGCCTTTTATGATTTAAACTGGTCTGGGAGTGGGGGTGGGGGAGGTGTTGCAGGCTTCAAAGGGCCTGCTCACCTTTTAAAACACCACTGAATTTGAATCATTAGATAGGAGTAAGATCCCCTATCCAGTCGATAACAGTTTTTATACTACCCTTCTCAAGCCTCGGCAGGCTCAGGAGTCTGGAGCAGGTACCTTCCACAGTCCTCGTGTCCGTCCCCCCCCCCCCAGTAGAAAAACAAGGAGGTCTTTCTCTACTTTTCCTCTTATATGGGAGACAGGTGGTAGTTTTGACTGGTGTCTGCATCCTGGATGGATGGGGGGGGGGGGAGAGAGAGAGAGAGAGAGAGAGAGAGAGAGAGAGAGAGAGAGAGAGAGAGGAGATATCTGGGCTTTGGGCTGGGGCCAAGAAAGTAGCTGTGTTAAGATCTCAGCCATTCCCAAGAAATCGGAACTGAGATTCTGCCTAGATGCAGCAGCTTGGTCACAGGAAAATGTCCCCATCACCTTACCCAATTTCTACATTTGAAAAAGTGTGTGTGTGTGTGTGTGTCTCATGGTTCATGCCTTATTTGGATATTGCAAGGAGGCACAAGTTTACAGAGTAAGCCAGGCAAATCTATATGTTCAATAAATGTTAGTGTCTTTCAGGATTCTGGTTTCTTAGGGTTATGCAGTATCTCAGACCCAGAATTCACTGTCACAGATATTTCATCTGAAATCCAGATATTCGGAGCTTGGTAGAACCATAAAAATGATAACAACACTAACACACATGGTTTCAAAAGCAGTTACATCACCATACTCAGAGCTATTATCATCACGATTCTCTCAGAACATGAACATCATTGTCTAGGATGCTCTTGCTTATAAAGCACTGCGGTCGTACTTTCTTGATTGGACTTACCTCTTTGCTTCTCTGAACTGCCAATCCAGTGAGACACAGAGACAGAGGCAAAGAGGGAGAGAGAGGACACAGACACGAAAACATAAGAGAGACACAGAAAGAGAGACATACAGAGAGAGACACGCACAAACACAGACACACACAGAGAGGAGAGAAAAATCGTATTTCTGACCTTTTGTATCTGTGTGAGGAACAGTGCCCAGGACAAGCTTGCGGGATTTACACCCAGAGATGAGCTAGCACCTCCTTCGTCATGCCCTCTTCTCTGTGTTGGTTGGTTAATCGAGTTCAGATAAACCAAAAGATTAGACTCAGTCTTTTTGTGGTTGTTATACTTTGTTTTTGAGACAGGATCTCACTCTGTAGCCTAGGATGGCCTTTCACTCACAGTGACCCTCCTGCCTCAGCACCCCATGTGCTGGAATTATAAGTGTACCACCACACCCAGGCTCCCATTTGGCCTTTGCCATGGTGGTGCCCTCTGCCCAGAATGCTCGTTCCCAGACAGCCTCTCCTTTTTCTTCACCTCTCAGTTCGAAGTCACTTTCTCAAGACAGGTCTTATCATGAGCAGGTCCAGATACTGCTGGGTGGTATTTTATCAGCATGGCTATTTTTGTGTGAGGGTCACAACGCTCATTTAGGGTGTATTCTTTCTTTACCCCGGAAGCTATCTTATGTGCATCTCCAGTGCTCATATTTATCCTAACATGTGGGAGGGAGACAGGAAATATTCCTGAACGAGTGGACCACAGCACTGAAGAAACCGATCTCTGGGTTCTGGATCTAGAAACCTATATTTCTGGTGCCCGAGAAATCCATTATTTCTGAAATTCTCTGTCAATTCTGGCGCAGTCGGGCACTTTCTCCAATCTCGGTATCAGTTCTAGATTTTAGGTCGTAGCCTTGGATTGTTAGTCTGGAGATTTCCCACAGTTCCTTAAGCTCTACCTCAGAGCCTGCTTCTTAAGGCCCATCCTCGACTAACCGCCCCTGCCTTCTAGAACCTCCAGCCTCTCTGCTAGCCCCTCCCTCTTTACAGTTCAGCTGCACAGACTTTTCCTCACCCTTCCCACCCCTCACCACCTGCTCTTCCCCTCTTAGGATTGTCTCCCTCCTCCCTGCTTCTTGGCTCCATCTCCTTCAGGAAGCTCATGGGTTCCCTCTTCGGGGGGGGGCATCTTGTCCTAAATAGACTTTGTCATATTGTTCGTCTCCTCGTTGACTTGTCTGTTGTCTTTGTCTCAGTTACCATGGTCAGCTATTTTCTTGGTTTCTTTGTCTGCTATGCCAGGCTCCCCACTTAGAAAACTCCACAGGGCTGATCTTTTTCCTCTTTGCTGGGCTGGGATTGCTCCTGCATCCAGAACAGCCCTGGACCATAGTGTGTGCACAGAAGATAATTCACCGAGTGAGTGAGAGTCGTATTTAATCATCCAAGTCAGGAGCTCGGGGACTCCATCCTTCTTCTTCCTCCAGCCTCTCTAAGGGCTATTCATCAAACCCTATGGATCCCATCTCATGTGTGACTCTTCACTCTGTCTTCTTTCCCCCTTGCTACAGCCAATGTTTCAGTTCTGGCTCTTACCAACACTGGGAAGGCTCCATGGTGCCCCTCCTGTGATCTGAGATCGGTTAATTTAATGGTGGGGCCAAACTTTAGGTTTGGGTACCAAGTGAAATTTTGCTTTCTCAAGGTCATGAGCTGTGCCATCAACTCTAACCTATTAGTATCAGCTAGGGAAACAGAAACTTTGTCTGCCTCTGCCAGACAACTGTCTAGTTTACCAGAGTCATCAAACATTTAAGGAGTGATTTCTGTATGCACACAATGAATTCCTTATATGCACATCTCATTTAATCCCTGCAACTCAAAAATGATTTACTCTGTGTGTGTGTGTGTGTGTGTGCGCCTGCCTGTGTGTATGTATGGCTACCTGTGTGTGTACAAGCAGAGGCCAGGAGAGGGCGCTGGATCCCTTGAGGATAGAGTTGCAGGTGGTTGTGCCTGAAGTGTGTGCTGGAAACTGAACTTGGATCCTCTGCTAGAGCACCAAGTGCTCTTTTCTTTTTCTTTTTCTTTTTTTTCTTTTTTGATTTTTCAAGACAGGGTTTCTCTGTGTAATTTCGGACCCTGTCCTGGAACTCACTCTGTAGACCAGGCTGGCCTCGAAATCACAGAGATCCGCCTGCCTCTGCCTTCCAAGTGCTGGGTTTAAAGGTGTGTGCCGCCACCACTGCTCTTAACTGTTGAGCCTTCTCCTCTGCCCCAGTGTCTGCAACTCTCTGTTAGCTAGATGGTTCACAAATGGGAATGTCTAGCATGATTCAGATAAGAAGTCTCCTATGGGGTCCAAGTGGAAGTACAGGCATTTTAACTAGGGTTAAGACATTTTTTCCAGCTAACAGGTCCACACAAGAAAGTTAGATGGGCATCTTCGAAGTTTGTTGGTTTTGTTCTCTTTCACTCATGGAAGCAGATTAATAGCTTGATGCCTGGTCAAAAGTGTAGCAGTAAAGTTGTGATGACCCGAAACATTTAAGATGAAATTGAAGAGAAAGTGCTCACATCAGAAAGTGTAATGAATGTGGCACAGACTCTTGAAGGATGTGCACTGAATCATTCGACTGGGGTTTCCGGGTCTGGTTTCCAGAGGCTCACTTATTTTCTCTTGAGAGGCCAGCTTGCTGCTTTTCGACGAACCCTACTGGCTGATTGCTTCGTGATGTGGCACTGCCTTCCCTTCCTTCCTTCCTTCCTTCCTTCTTTCCTTCCTTTCTTTCTTTCCTTTCTTTCTTTTTAAATATTTATTTATTTATTTATTTATCATGTATACAATATTCTGTCTGTGTGTATGCCCGCAGGCCAGAAGGGGGCACTAGACCTCATTACAGATGGTTGTGAGCCACCGTGTGGTTGCTGGGAATTGAACTCAGGACCTTTGGAAGAGCAGGCAGTGCTCTTAACCTCTGAGCCATCTCACCAGCCCCTGCCTTCCCTTTCAAGGGGTGATGGGGACAAAGCAACTTCCTGTTGTGGTGGAGAAGGAAGAGTCTGGAGCCCAGTATAGCAAAACATCTTCCTGATCTTTGCTGAGAGTTTTGTACCCACACGTGAAATGAGTTCATCCTAGAAAACCAAGGCGACCACTACAAAAACTCGGGCCTATTCCCTTCTGGATTCTTTCTAACATGTACGCAGTTTTCTTCACTCAAATGGGGTTTACGCTCTCATTCTCCCCTTTCCTCCCTCAAGGTAATCTAGCTACTGACACTTTTTGCAGGTGTTGCCATTGTCCCTGGGATTTCTCTGACTATGTGGGTTGTTTCTTAGTATTGCCCTATGACCTGGTCACTGGGGTAGGCTGCTTAGCATTTATTGTTGTTGCTGTGATTCTGAGAAGCACTACAGTGAGCATTGCTGGTGCCATGTCTCGGCATTTTCACAGCTGCTTTGTGTCCCGTGATCCCACGGGACAAATGCCAATCTCGGAAAACGTTTATGTATTTGACATGTTTATTTTATTCTCTATTATGTGTCTCTGTATAAAGGTACACATGAATGCAGGGGCTGACGTTAGGATCCGCTGCAGCTGACGTCACAGACTGAGACACCTGATACGGGTGCTGGTAACTGAATTTGGATCCTCTGGAAGAGCAGCAAGTACT